GAGTTGCGTGGTGGCCAGAATAGGGCCCTGAGGGCCTCGTCGAGCCTGCCTTCACTTAGGGCGGCCGACGGGCTGCAAAATGGGGCCTTATGGGGCTCATAGAGGCAGTGGCCTCGCAAATTATTTTTTAATTAAAATTTTTATTTTTTTATTTGGTATTATTGGTAAGGAATTTCGATGTGACCTTGAGGCAAACATTGTTCAGTTTATTTTTCTGCGTACGATAGTGAACTTTGAGCAAGCGATCGTATTTGCAGATGTGTTGTCTCGTCACCCCAAAGCCTTCGGCCTCTGAATATCTGGCGTTGGGGTGAGGAGACAACACATCTGTATAATGGCGTTGGGGTGGCGAGACAACACTTCTGTACAACCCGAAGCGATCGATTATAGGTTTTGCGTATCATGCAAAAATGGTTGTTATAATTGAGTTGCTGATGTGTTGTCTCGTCACCCCAAATGCATGACTTGCCTTATGAATACTGATGTGTTGTCTCGTCACCCCCCAAATGCATGACTTGCCTTGTGAATACCTTCGACCTCTAGAAGAAACTGAAGGGGGGATCGTAGAACACACCGCCAAGGACCCGGACCTTGGCCCCATCCTTGAGCAGTTGCAGGCTGACCCCAACACTCAGCCTGATTTTCACGAATATGGAGGACTGGTTTTCCGACGCTATGGGAATCACGACCGATTGTGTGTGCCCAACCATTAGCCTCTCCGCACATAGTTCTTGGGTTTGGCTCATGGCCGGAGTGGACACTTCGATATGGCAAAGACGTACAGAAACCTATTAAGATAGCTTGATTTGCCTGGTATGAAGGGATGTGCTCAAACGTTTGTGGCCGAGTGCCAAGTCCGTCAACGAATCAAACCATGTAAACAAAAGCCCATGGGGCTACTTACACCTCTTCCCATTCATGATGGACACGGGGAGTCTATTTCTATCGACTTCATCGAGATGGGAAAGGTAAGTCCGAATGTTTTTTTGCAAGTAATGGTGATTGTTAACCGCTTCTTTAAATTCGTCAATCTGATTTCTTTGCCATCTTATGCCCCTCTGAATTGGTGATCCATGAGTTCGAACAGAAGTACATTCTGCAGGTCGGAGCCCCGAAAATTGTTTTGAGTGATCGAGACCCGCGCTTCGTAAGTACGGAATGAAAGAACTTCACTTCCCGACTCCCTGGCCTCAGACGATGCATGACATCTGGCCGACATCCCGAAGCCAACAGTTTGGCTGAGGAAATCAACAAGACTATGTGTTAACTTCTCTGCGCTTTAATCATTTTGGATCAGGAAACGTGGAATGGGTGGGACGAGGCCGATCACTGGGCAGAAAAGGAAAATGGGAGTAATGCAAGTAGCAGGGTAATCCTATTGAGGTTCTACAGGGATGAGGCAATCAATGCTCAAGTAACAGGGTAATACTATTGAGATTCTACAGGGATGAGGGAATCAATGCTCAAGTAACAGGGAAGTACATTGGAGTTCTACAGGGATGAGGGAATCAATGCTCAAGTAACAGGGTAATCCTATTGAGGTTCTACAAGGGTGAGGGTAGCAATGTTCAGGTAATAGGGTAATCCTATTAAGGTTCTACAAGTAACAAGGCAGTCCTATTGGTGTTCTACAGGGTTATAGGTTGTCAGGTTTGAGGGGGG